AAAAAAAAGAAAAAGATTTCTGTTTAATTGTATTTCTCACGCAATAACAATATAACAATAACGACACAACAAAATACTGTGAATCCTATTACATTTTATACAATTGTTTGATTTATTATTACTAATGATAATTAATAATGATAATTAATTATCATTTGGTATTTCGTAAACAATATTGTCGTATCATTTAATTATTTTGGAGTTTATACTGTGTGTTCATGCCACACACAGTTATATATAAATTAAAATAAAATATATTATTAATATAAAAATATGAATGGTGGTTCGGGGATAAAATATGTTGAATCTAAATTATATTATTTTTATTATTAATTGTAATCTGGTATGTAAGAAAAAAAACTATTGCTCCCTGATTGTGAATTATTTTGGAATATACTGTGTTTCAATCCACATTTAAAACAATTACAAAACAATGGATAATCATTCTATATAATCTCATAAAATATAACACGTTTCGTGCCACGTATAACCAACGATGATATACATTAAACTTTCCATTCAGACCGCGTGTCCCACCGGTGAGGTACACGTTGACATATTTATATAATGCATTAAACAAAATTATTTAATAATAACTTGAATATATTTATCAAAATGAACGGGACATTATAAAACAAATAAGTTGAATTCTTACATATACATACAATATTTAACAATTAAATAGAATGATTCATATATTGTTAAAAAACAAAGATATGCATGAACCGAAGAAAAAAAAGGCGCGTAGAAACAAATTAGGCACGAAACGCGTTGAAAACAATCTATTTCCAAACAAAAAAAATCTACAAACTATCTCTAAACATATTCCTCTTCTACAAATCCTTCACGTTTACCTATATAAACGTATTTTAAAAAAAATATATATATATATAATTCTTTAATAAAGATCCAAAATAATATAGGAATCATTGAAAAATGAAATACACGTCATATGTTAGTTTCGTTTAGAACTCGATTTGTACCACCTATAAATTCATCTCATCATCGCCATCATCATCATCATCATCATCATCATCATCATTGTCATCATCATCATTGTCATCATCATCGGCTGTGGTCAGTAATCGCTGAGCGTAATCGCTCAGCGCCGTTTTCATTCGCGGCCCTTTCAGTCTCGTCGTGTCTTCTCTTCGTTTCTCTCACGACGATCTACCCAACATAATTTTCTCTCCCTCTCTCTCTTTCTCTTTCTTTCTTTCTCTTACTCTCGTGTTCTCTCTTTTTCTCTCTTTATTTCTCTCACTCTATCTCTGAATGAAATAGTTAGATCTCTCAGTGCCAACTATCCCTCCGCACCCGTTGGATTGCATCTCCCGTTTGAGGATCAGTTCCTATCGTTATTGTTCAAGAAGACACGAAAAGAAAGAAAAAAAAAAGAGATATCTGATTGATATTGAAAACAAAAGAAAAAACAAACAATCAAACAGAAAAGAAAACGAAAAATAATTTAATGTAATTTTTTCTAACGCAATAATCAAACAGAGAGAGAGAGAGAGAAAGAAAGAAGGTGTGAAAATGATGTATTTTTTAGTATTTCAATAATAATGTTTCAGGTTACGTGATTAATTTATTTAAAAAAATAAAAAAAAAACAGATCTTGTTCTAAAATACGCGCGTAACAAGAAAAAAAAGACATCTCGTAGACGCGAAAATTATTTTGTTCATTTATTAATGCAAGGTAATAAGAAGAAGAAGAAGAAGAAAAAGAAGAAGCAGAAGAATAAGAAAGGATAATAAAAGAATAATATTCGAAATAGTTTAATCTAATGCAAATTGAATAGATCTATTTATAAAGTATAGTTAAAAGTGTCAGTGTCGTGTGTGGCGACGACGTAGGTCGATGCAACGTTAAAATGTGGGAAGCTCGAGTGCGTTTCTCGTTGCGAATAAAGAAAAAGTGTGTTCGGAGTGAATCGGCTTGTAGCTGACTATAACTTCAATCTGTGTGAGTAAATACCCTATGCCTATTAATTATTTATTTTATTAACTTCATATTTATGATTAGAAATGTTATTGCGATTAATTTAAAACAAAAAAAAAACAAAAGTACGAAATAAAAAAAAGAACAAAAAATAAACTGAATTCGATAAGTAAAATAATATCTAATATTGCATACGCGCATATATATGTATATGCATATGTATATGTATATGTATATTTATGCACGAGTATATAATACAAAGTGAAAGTTTATTATTTGAAAATGATATCTATGAGATACGAAGGTGTGTATATTAATACGTATGTTAAGTTATTGGTCCTCACGGTCGAACTTAAACACGTGCAGTAATTTATCAATTTGTGAATATGTTACGGAAGTCCTTAGCGTTGGCCGCGAGTGCTTTTATGTACTACTCGTGAATGTGTCAATGTTTTTACAACAATTATTCACTTTCTTTATTCATTTTCTTCCGTTTCTTCTTTCTTTCTTTTTTCTTATTATTTTATTCAAAAATATACGATATCACAACGTAAAAGTAAAATTCGTTCCTGCTTACCTATAACTTTTTCTTTCCCCCATAGTTCGATATATTAACATATATATTTATTTTATTTATTTTTTTATTTAGATTCTTTTTTTCGTTTTGTTTTTTTTTGTTTTTGTTTTAATATACCACACAACGTGAAGGATTAATAATTACAAACGTTTGCGATATGCGCGCCGTTGGTTGTGTGGTCCTTTTGATAAAAGGATGATCATGATCATGATTGTATGTTGTTAAGTTACAAGAAGAAGTGATAATATATTCGTAGGAGTTAGATATACCATGAAGTACATAGAAAGATCGTCGATGTAAAGTCAGTAGGATCGTTATTGTATGTAATACATAGGAACGTTCCTCTCGTTACAGTCCAAACGCCGGCTGAGTTACGTTCAAGGGTTAGCAATTGAAGAAGCAAGTGTAAGGTAGCCATTGCGTAATCCTTCCATCGACAATTTTCCTATAAATAAATAATAAATTATATCATAAATGTGTTAATACACATATATATATATACAAATATAAATATTTTTTTAATTACTCACCACACATATATGCACAAAATGAACAAGAATATTATTATTCTAGGATAGAATTTGTTAAACGTATTCAACAACAAAATCTATATAATATTTAATATTTATTTATCTATATAATATTTATAAATAAATATTTTTCAGTAAATAAAATAAAATCAGAGAGAATAATTTGAATTAATAAAAAAATAGAAAAAAATAACTTAAAAAGAAAGATATCGAAAATGAAAAAATTATATTATAATTTATCTCGTAAAAATATTTCTAGATTATTATTATTATTATTATTCATGTATATACAGATCATTTATTTAGATATTCCATATATATACATATACATATATATATTTATATTCATGTACATAAGACGTCTAATTTCTTTGTCAGTTGTAAAGAACGTACTCAGGTACATTTATATATTTAAACAACTCGTAAGTTCGCACTCGTTTAAAAGAGAGATAGATAGAACGATCAATCATCTCTGACAAATCATTTTTATTATCCATTGATATAGATACAGCGATTAGATTGATTAGATATTTTGGTTATTTTCCTTTTTTTCCCCCCCCCTTTTCTCACTAAGAATATTAGAAAAGTTACGTGTAGGTGAGAATACTTTTATCTTAGAATGCCAAGGAGCCGTTTAAGTTTCTAATTTTGTACGAAGGAAAACGTATGTGTGTGTATACGCGCACACTTATGCATGTATGCGTATACCATATGTTAGGATGAAAGCAAATTAGGTGTCACTGTGATCTTTGTGTATGCATTTGATCGTGAATATGATGATAGATCGCAAGAGATCATGATTTTTTTGTTGACGAGGAAGACACGACGTACCCTTTTTCTTTTTTGTTGTCATTTGTTTAAACAATTTTGTTATATTCTATCATTTTGTTTGTTTCTTTTTTTCTTTTGTATTCGCGGGCAACGAGATTTATTAATTATATTTTCAATTATATTTATACGCGTGTATATGCTTATATTATGCGATTAGTATAAATTTCTATTTCTTTTGTGTGGTTTATTATTTAATTTTATAAAAATATTAAAAAATAATATATCTTTTCTTTTTTTTTTTTTTTTTCTCAAAATCTTTTATATAATCTTTGCGAAGAGAAAAATATTGTATATTTAATTTGACTAGAAATTTGTAAATTATATAAACACATATCACTTTTAAAAAATTGAATACAATACATATAAAAATATTTTCTATATACATTTTAAGTTAGAGTTTGTGGGGGAGAGAGAGATAGAGAAAAGAAAAAGAAAAAGAAAAAGAAAAAGAAGAAATATTTAAAAATAATATTATGCAACTTTCATTGTCACATCGTAAAACTGCAATTAAATTTTTTGTTCAGAAAGAAGACTTATTATAGAAACTACAGATGTTATTCAAAGTCGAGATCGAAATCAGTGGGAAATTTGCCAGAGAGATTAGAATAGCGGAAGACGTTGCATTCTATTCGGGTCAGACTTAACACCGTCTATCTTTTTCAATGTCAAAGCTTTAATCTTCTTACTAATCGTACAATTAAATTCATTTGTTATCGGGTGAATCAATGGTGGTGGTTGGAGGGGCGGGAGGTGGTGTAGGAAATTATAAGATTATAATTTTGTCATTATTTAAATAAAACTAGATTTCTTTAACAATAGAATATTGTTATGCAATAAAATATATATCAATCTGAAAGTTTATTAATCCTAAAGTATATATATCTAAAGATATTTCTTTTGTATAGAACTTTTCAATGTTTTACATTAAAAACAAACATCAATTATTTCATATTTACAGTAAAAGCTGTTTTATAAGAATATTCCTATGTGACTCACTGTAAATACTTTATCGAATTATTGTTTATAAAATGAAACAAAAATAAGATATCGAATCTAGGGGGTTTATAAGTCATCCAACGTAAACGAAAACCTTTCAGTCTAGAAGTACAGTTTCAATCCTAACGATCCTTAATTTAATTTTTTTTGGTTACATATTTCTTCGATATTTCATGATTGAGTCAAATTCATCAATTGTTGATAACTTGCGGATGGATTTTTGTCTTGTGCAGATAAAAATCAATGTGAATATTATATCGTGTTTTACGCGATACAGTAATAACAATAATCAAGAAAAATGTTCCACCATTCGTTTCTGTTTGGGAATTGGGTTTATTATTATAGGTAAGCTTCTTTTTTCGTTGTGTTATTATTTTATTCTTTTTTTTTTTTCTTCCGTTTCTTATTCTCCACTTCTTCCTCTTCTTCTTCTTTTTTTTTCTCGATTTTATTACTCGAGCAATCATTTTTATGAACGGAAGTATATGATCGTTAAGAATGTCGTTGGAATCGTTGAAGATTTGAGGCCCCCGTTTAACAAACAATACGATTATTGTTTCAACTTTCAAACACATTTCTCATTAATAATTAATTGTAATATATATATTATTTTTGTCGCATATATAATCTTATAACATGTTTCATTATTTCTATAAGATTTTTACTTTAACTCACTTAAAACATGCATAACATCATCGATATAATCATTCAATTCGCTAGTAAATTCACGTAATAGTGATTTTTTTGTTTGATAAATGTCTGACCAGTTTTAAGTAAATTTGTCATAAAATTGAAGCTCACTTGTCTGGAAAGGTAATGTCATTCTCGAACGAAATGCGATCGTTTAACCCGGTAATCAGAAAAGTGAGGCTACATGGATGTGACCTAGTCCGCAAGCTTTACTGGAACACAAATTGCCATGTCATTGCATTGTTCACGCTACTCACGTGTAATATTTCTCTGTGTACGCGTACACGTACATAATATATATATATATATGCGTGTGTTATCAGTCTCTTTGGTCTCCATCGTTGAAGTAACCGGTACATAATTTTAACACAGGATACAATTATGAACACGTCATTGACCGAACTTTCATACAAATTTTCAAGATCCACCCTTGGAAATCATTCGAATCATTCAATTACTTACAAAATATGTTTCTTCAATTTTTTTTTTTCAAAATATTATTCGTGATCATTTTAAATATGATCGATAAATTAACAATATTAATATGTTTAAATATACAAATTTAAAGAGACATTTTTTCGAAGCAAGCTAATAATTCGAGTTAAATCGTAAACATGTTAGCCATAATCGGGATAATCTGTGTACCTGCATACGACGACGACAACGACGAATGACGTATGATGTAACAGATGGAAACAATCATACGAGTGCATCGGTAGGACATAACTAATAAATTAATATAAACGAATTCGTCGAATCAAATCATTTATTAAACCGTGGACCAAGCCAAACAAACAACGAACGAAAGAAAAACTATGACGTTCGGAATAAAATGAAATTGATATAATCAAGAATTATTTGTTTATACGAGAACAACAAAAATTCCTAAAAGGATAGACCCACGCATTCGCGATTGTTGGTGGTGGTGGTGGTACTGTTGACGTCATTGCAACGATAAATACGTCATGAGGAACGTATAATTCTATCCTGACAAATTTTAAATCCTTTCTATATTCATTAAATAATCATTTTTTCTTATTTTTTGCAACAATTATAAAAAATACAATTATAATATATAATATATAATTACAATAACTTTGAATACATCAAATACATCATTCGCTATTACAATTATTATTACATTGCTAATTGAAATGATAAACTATATAAAACTTGAACACAATTACACCCCACTTAAAATTATAACTAATAAAACTATCATTAACAACTATACGTCATCATCACATATCAAAATTACAATCATAATAACAAGAGAGAACAAAGAAAAATATTATTGAAACGATCACTAATTATTAAGATTATTCGAAAAATGAAAACCTATAAAGAATTATTCGTCGATTAAATTATTCCTGCAACTGTTAATTATTAATGAATTGTGGGGTATTGCTGTTGCAGTTATTGTTATTGCTATCGTTTACGGGGGTTATGTTAAAGTTGTTCTATCGTATACATTTAGGATTCTGTTGTAACATAAGCGCGAGACGAATAGCGGATCGATAAATTCGCGCTTGCCCTGTTCGGTCTTCTTACCTATACGGCGATTGTCCGAAACTAGTTTTAAGAAGGCAGGCGTGATGCACGATCAGGATCAGTCGCGATGTAACCGCAGCATGAACGGGCCTCGTACCGGGCCACCAGGTGACCGCCATCTAATCTTCGACTTCGGATAATTTTATATTCCTACAAGTTTTTTCTAATCGGACACTTTTCACAATACAGAGTAAACAAAATCTAATAATTAATATAATAATCTCAAGCAAAGAGAGCAAGAGGTAAGAGAAAGAAAGAAAGAAAGAAAGAAATAAATAAATAAAAGGATAGTGAAAGAGAGAAAGAGAGAGAGAGAGAGAGAGAGAGAGAAAAGAAATAAAGATACAAATTTTCGTTCGATTATTTTTCAACGTGGGAGAGACCGACAAAAGAAACAAAAATCAGAAGAGAAAATAACCCCACCCCCGCCGCCGTCGTCGTCGTCTCCCTCATCTTGGGTGACAGGTATGAAAAAAAAAGAAAAGAAAAAAAGAAAAACCACGACTGGACGACACGAGGAAAATAGTTAACGACGATAACAATAATAATTATTCATTATTATTTTCTCATTTGTGTTGTTCCTAGATTTTTGCTATTTTTTTTCGTCTCGATCAGTGTTAAAAGAAGAAGAAGAAAAAAAAGGAAAGTTATTTCGATGATTGTTGTAATTGTTGATAATCGTTAGGGGGGGATGGATGGTTGATCCTTCACGTGGGCGTCTCCTGAAGGATACGCGCCGGTCCTTTTATACTATTCTAACAAATAATTCGATTTTTAAAGACCCTTATCGTTATCTCTTATCTTTGATTTTTGATTTTCTTCAAGAGAAACATATGTTCTTCTAATAATAGGGGTAATACCAACCGTTAGAAATCAATTTTTCACCTGGTTTACATTCTTAAATTAGCACGGGAGATATTTGCTCGATGGGGTCACTAGGAGAGAGTGAGAGAGAGAGAGAGAGAAGGGGTTCTCGAGTAAAAAACTAGAACAACGCTAGTAAATTCTCTCCTCGATTATATTCGTGTAATATATGTGTGTCTGCATTGCATATATATATATATATATATATATATGTATGTACGTGTGTGTGCAAACTGGGAAGGTCGTGATCGAGTCGATTGCGCGTAGGTTAAGGTTACGATGATCTAAAAATCCATAAGTGCCGAATACACACTCGTTTATATGTGTGTTTCATTAATTTATATCAATTTCATTTCAATCGGAAATAAATCGAAACGTTTTTTATTGGTTTTCTTTTGCTTTCCCTCCCCTCCCCCCTTTCCGCCGCCAACTGTTTTTCACCCCCACACTCTCACCAGCCCTACGTTTTCATAAATTTTCTAGATCGTGATCCCCGTAGATCGAGGAAAAAGATATCATAGTTTAGTTCATTCTTTCTTCAACTAATTTGCGTTAAGGAAATATTACGATATGTATCTGACCGTGCATATATATATGTGTTTGTGTGTGTGTAGGTTTTATTGTTAGTAGTGTATGGTCCGTTTGTATCTTTCTTTCTAATACACGTGCAATAGTAATAGTAGTGTTGCAGTAGTATAGTTCGACCTTGTTCAAGCTAACACATTATGTTTCCTTGCCAATGTGATGCGTAGGAGTTATACAGATTTTATAATACAATACAAATCGAAGAATCTCTTATTGTTCTTGTTTTTTCTTTTTTTTTTCTTTTCTTTTCTTTTCTTTTCTCTCTTTAACCGTAATTCTGTTAAAGAATATTAGATAAAGTATGTTGAATAACTGTTTATGTAACGAAACTTGAACAAAATTGATCATAGATCTAATGATGAGTTACATTGCAGTTGGTAACAACGTTAATAATCATCGATAACAGTTGTTTTTTTATTCGTATTCAATAGTAATTTGATAATTGATCTTTATCCTGTGTGAGGTATCTAACAGGGAGAAGAGGTGATAACTGGTGACGTTAGATTTTTAAGATTCATATGCCAAAATCATATCGTATTTCATTATTTTTTAATATAACTAACGTAACAGCGCGTATATATATAATTTTTGAGAGATTTATATAATATTAAATAATTTTAAATGAAAATAAAAATAAATTCTGGAATAAATTAAATAATATTTTCGAATGTGTGTGTGTGTGTGTGAGAATAAGATATTACAATTGTATATTTTCAAGGAGAATATTTTGTTATTTATTTTTTTGTCGTCAATTAAAAATAATTTAACATATTTAAAAATAACCGCCAATTATGATACACTTTGCATCGATATGAAGACAAAAGTTGTCGAATCAAAATTAGATAAGAATCCTTCATCATCAATTTGACGATTGTTATCGAGACTTTTTCTGTTTTCCTCGTGACGAGAAATGAACAGCAGTGGCGTACGAAAAAGTGGATATTGTTGTAGTAGTATGATATATTCGCAACATGATTTACAGTTGGTTCCAACTGCCAAGCCAAACCGAACAGAGATAGCGTACCTACCTCCACGGTTAATTACGTAATTAACGTTTTATTTGTATCCTGGAATACGTTATATATATATATATATATACGTGTTACATATAATTGTGTGTGACATACAAGAGAAAAAGAAAGAGAGAGAGGGAGAGAGAGAGAGAGAGAGAGAGAAAGAGAGAAAGAATCTTATCATTCTTTGAAAGAAGAAGAATGGCTATATATTTGTGGGTACGAGTAAGACGAGGCCCTCAGTAGGAAGATGATAGAGGGCCAGGTACATCAACTTCCGGTTAGGCTACCGCCTGACAAAAATCAACCGGCTTCTCAAACACCTGAGCCTAATACCACCAAATTCGAAAAGTATGTCGAATAGAGTGTAGTTTCAGTGATAGAACATTTATGAATATTTATTATAAATATATAAAGTATATATTATAACGTTGTTAAATGGTGATTTTGATTTTGTGTATTAATAATAATTCAAATACTGTACATATCAAATCTAAGATATTATGTTTTAAAGTATTGAATTAAAATATATTTATATATATAAGTTGTAAAAATGATTAAAAAAAAAAAAGAAAAGAGTAAAGAATAGAAAATCGAGTGACGAGTTTAACGAGCAACAGGTTGCTATGTCGAATCCAATAAAAAAAAAAAACTTCTTCTTCCTCAGTTTTATTCGAATATATATTAACGCATATTATAACGACATAGGTTTCAGTTTGGTTTTGTTTTTTTGTCGTTTAATTTAAAAAAAAAACAAACCGAAAAATAAGTTTCGTTTTATTCAATGAACAATTTTGTGTTAACAGTGAGCGATGTACGGAACCTTTGCTTCCGGAAAGGCGTAATTCCCGCAGGATGACACCAACCGATGGCCGATCACGATCAACTTCCGAATCTAATGCCACCGTTGGTACCAACACCAATACAACCATTCCCATTAATAATAATAACAATAATAATAACAACAACAACAACAACAATCATAACGTTGCTAGCAATGTTGGCGGGAATGGTAATAATAGCAACAACGGCCCTAACATGACCAACAATTCGGTCACGGTCAATTCCAACGGCCACGATGAGTGTGTGGAAGTGACGATATTCGATGAGAATTATGATAACAACCGTCTTCCTGATGTAGTTGCTGAAAGTAAAATCTATGGTGTTACCGACGATGAGGAACCTACGGAATCGTATTGTGCAATAACCATTCAAGTTTTCATACCCTTTTTGATAGCTGGCCTTGGCATGGTTGGAGCTGGATTAGTCCTCGATCTAGTACAAGTATGATAATCGTTCATTCCTTCGTCATATTTCAACTAAATTTACTCCTTTTTCTTTTTTCTTTTTTTTTCTCTCTCTTTTTGAAGTTATTTGTTTTTTTTTAAGACGTTATTCTTATTCTAACGATTGGAGCTTTCTTAAACACGCGTTAAAATCACCACCTAATTCTATAATCCAAATTGGATACTATATATAATTCTAAACTAATTTTAATTAGTATTTTATATATATTGTTCATATTAGGTATATTTAAGTACTTCGTACGATCCAATTATGCGAATAATATAATCGTTTATTTATTAAATCTTTTTTGTTTCTCATCTAAATGATATAAATCAATTTATAAAATATTAATATGATAATCTCTCTTAAAATTAATTGATAAATCTATTTTATATATTTTGATTTTCACAGCACTGGGTAGTTTTTGATAAGGTTAACGAACTTATGATCCTGGTACCAGCACTTTTAGGTCTAAAAGGTAATTTGGAAATGACTTTGGCGTCTCGTCTTTCAACGCAAGCAAATCTTGGACACATGGACACGCCTAAACAACAGTGGTACATGATAGTTGGGAATCTAGTTTTGATACAAGTAAGTTTATTCCCCTAAAGTGTTGTCTTAGTTATTTATTATCTGTTCGATACTTTTTTTTTTTGCCTTATACTTTTATTTCTTCTCTCTCTCTTTCTTTCTCTCTCGTGAAACGAACTCTTGCCAAGTTATTTGCTAATTATCAGCGTTACGTGGTTACGCTGATTCGAAACTTTTTCTCTTTCTCGGTTTATCTCTCGACGGCGCGTCGTCAACATTGTTTGCACTTAATATCTACGTTTGCTTTACGTATAAAACGTGTTCTTTTATTTTTTTTTTTTTCGTTTCTTTTTTCTTCGTTACTTCTGCGTAAGAGAAGAAATTCGCAAACGATTTTCATAGATTTAACAACATTCGATCTCTCTCTTTCCTCTTCTTATTACGAAAGAAGAAAACGCTAATGAAATACGTTAAAGGAAGATTCTGAAATTTTCTGGTCGTCTTATCGCGTGGCGCCAGATTTTTATTTGATTTTATTTATACAATGTTTCTTTACGACGCAGGCACCACCCGAGATCACCATCACCACTACCACGTGTTTTTGCAATTTCATCTAACGTAAATGAGATCATCGACACATCGAAACTGAGATGATTTATTTATTTTGTTGTTGTTGTTATCAAAACATTATTATTATTATCATCATCATCATGAAATTATCTTGCAGATAAACGTTTTATCATTGGTATACGAATTAATGCTAATTTAATTATACGCTTTATAAAATAGGAATATTTTGTGTTGAATATTGAAAAATATTAATTAGTTCAATATTTGTGCAATAGAATTATGATTGTATATCGATATATGCAAGATATATATAATAATATTTAATTATAAATACTGAGATCGTATATTTGTTTAAAATAAACAGCAAGCTTCAAGCAAGTATTATATTTGTTTCAGCAGTGCTGGCACAAGCTAACATATTTTTCTATTAATATAAAAAAATAACAATATAATAATTTGATATATATATATATATTTAAAATATTAATCAAACGAATAATATGTTATATATGTTTGTTATATTACAGTGTCAAGCAATAGTGGTTGGTTTTCTTGGATCGGTGGTTGCAATAGTGATGGGTGCTTTTCGAAATGGTACAGTTTCTTTGGATCATGCATACCTGTTATGTGCTAGCAGCTTAGTTACGGCATCTTTGGCTTCCTTCGTACTCGGTTTGATAACCGCCGGTGTCATAGTATTTTCACGTCATTGTCATATCAATCCTGACAACGTAGCCACGCCTATAGCTGCAAGTCTCGGTGACATCACGTCGTTAGCCCTTCTTTCATGGATCTCGACGATTCTTTACGAATCAATCGATAAACAGGATTGGTTGGCACCACTGGTTATTGCTTGTTATGTTCTTGTAACACCACTTTGGGTTTGGATTGCCAAAAGGAATAAATATACCAATGACGTGTTATATTCTGGATGGACACCTGTTATGGTTGCCATGTTAATTAGCAGGTATATTATTTTATATTATTTTATTCATTTGAAATTATATTCTGTGATATTTATTGATAATTAATAAATAAATTTGTCGCGTTAGTTTTTAATATTTCTAATATAATCCAATCATTTTCGATTATATTCTAACGCGATATTTGAATATTTTTTTTTGGTTGGAAGAGGGGAAGAATATAATATGATTAAATTTATTTGTAAGTACCAACGTTTTACGACGTTTTATTGTGATACGATGAAATCTTAATCGGTTAAGCAAACAGAACATAAATAATATTAATAAACGCATATATAAATGAGAAAGGGGGGGCAGAAAAAAAAGAGTATAATAATAATCCGAATAAATGTAGGAAAATTTTCAATTGTTTTCAGTTGCGGTGGTTTGATACTCGAGTTCATGGTCTCCCGTTTCGAAAATCTGACGGTATTTCAACCGGTGATTAATGGTGTTGGTGGAAATCTTGTTGCCGTTCAAGCTAGTAGAATATCAACGGCACTTCACAAACAGGCTGAACTTGGGACACTTTTGATACCAACCGGTCAAACTCATCCAGTCATTTTCATTACCCCAATAGCTAATTTCTTTGGCAAAGGTATGTAGCATTATTCATCATCAAAATAATATTATAATAAACGATCTCATATTGAGAACTAGGTTTGATTTGAAAATTCAAATCTGAAAAAGAAAAAAGTAACTAATTCGTTTCGACATAAGATAAGAAGATCAGATATTTTCTTTTTTAGACGAGTTATGAATTATTATCGATACAATTTTGCAAATGACTTATTTTTTGTTATGTTTTTTTTTCCTTTGTGTATAGGTATACACGCAAGAACAACGAGAGTATTGATGGCTATGGTGATACCCGGTCACATAATTTTCATATATCTAATTAATTACATGAAAGACGGTAACACATCGTTAACACCATTGTTCGTATTTGTATATCTTTGTGCTGCCGTGTTACAAGTTGCTGCACTATTGTATATCGCTTATATAATGATCCATTGGATGTGGAAAAGAAAAATAGATCCTGATAATTCGGCAATACCATATCTAACAGCAATGGGTGATTTACTTGGCATCAGTTTACTTGCTATAGCTTTCCAATTTTTATATCTCGTTGGTGATCAGGATTACGGCGATCAAATAAAACCCTGAACGTGTGTGTGTAAGCATATCTTATATCCTTTTAAACAAATTTTTCAATTATTCTTTTAATAAATATTTCATATGATGTTTTATAGGAAAAAATAAAGTATGGGGGTAAAGTAAATTCATCGATTCAAGAAAATGGCATATAAATGATGATGACGATGATGATGATGATGATGATGATAATAATAATAATAATAAGAAGAAGATATGGAAAACAAAACAAAGGGAAGGTATTTTAAAAAGTAGCTGTGGTCGTATGAAAGTATAAAACATACTGAATCAATTATTATCGATCTGCCATTACATTCGAAAGGCCTAGAAGAAGAAAAACCTTACGAGTTAGTTGTTAAATTACATCATTTCGTTCGATACTCTCTCTTCGATTTTTTATTTATCTCTCATTTTAAAGAAAATATTAATAATATAATACAATATAGTGTCACACACACACACACACACACACACACTTTTGCGAGTAAAATAATATTTTTTAACAACGCAACGTCTTTTCGAAGTTTTCCTACTGATCCACCGAGAAAAAAAGAAAAAGAACAAAAAGAAGAAGAAGAAAAGAAAAAAAAAAATAAGGAAAGATAAAAAGGAAAACAAATCGCAAAAGGATTAGAAAAAAATTGTTATTTCAAGAGAGATACGAGGATGGTTATTTAGAAAGGGAGGAACAGAAAACAAATGCCCTAATGGATCAATAGATCTTCATTGATTTTATTCGAATTTTTACGAATTAACGAACGCTAAAACGTTTCTACGTGCTTTTTGCCTTCGATGATAACAAATTAGATTAATTAGATGACTTGTTTTTTTTTTCTTTGAGGTGTCATTTTTTTTTTTACACAATAACTATAATAAACAATAAAACGGTTGAGAGAGAAAGACATTAATCGTTGAATAAACAACAACAAATTTCTATACTGATAATAATAATAATAATAATTATAATAATAATAATAATAATTAAAGGTATCTCTCATTTTCTATTCACATATATATATATATTTTTTAATCGTTCGATTAAAATAATTTTGTCGTCTTTGTTTTTATATAGAAAATTATTATTTTATTTCCTTTCTTTGCTTTTTTTTATTTTGCCCCACATTCTCTTAAACGACACGAGACATTTGCCATTTATTAAAGTAAAAGAGAGAGAGAGAGAGAGAGAGAGAGAGAGAGAGAGAGAGAGAAAGAAAAAACAAGATAGAAAGATAAAAAAAATAGATTCCAACGCGTATGTGTGTCTTCGACTAATATAAGTTGCCTTCGTAAATGAGATGAGAGAGAGAAAAAAAAAAAAAGAGAGAAAGAGAAAAAGATTAGCTAACTAGTTGTTGTTATTAGCTAAAACAGGTGTGACGTTTTTAATATTTTTGGAAGCTTTAACAAAAAGAAAAAAAAAAGCTCACAATTCAACGCAGAAAAAAAAAAGAGAAAGAAAGAAAAAAAGAAACCCAAATAAAAAAGAAGATAAAATAGAAAAAAAGCACGATCCGCTAAATAGATTAGAAAAAAAGAAAATTACAATTCCACACCAATCATTTTCGATTAGGTAGCGAAAATAAAGAGAGAGAGAGAGAGAGTAATAAAAAACGGGGGTAAAAAAAATAGAGGGAATTTTAAAAAGAAGAAAAATAGAAAAAAAAAAAAAAGAAAGAAAGGAAAGATAAAATATTAATTCATAATCGTGCTTTTTCTAATCACAATAGATGTTATCTGATCTTTAACGAATCAATTGTTAATCTTCGTAATTAGAATTAGTGTGATTTAGAGAGAGCATGTATACCTTCAGAATCATACGTAATAATTATTATTATTATTATTAATATTATTATGATTATTATTATAATATTACTACACAGAGTTATCAAACTTTACAATGAATCATTGTAAGTATACATATACAGTTATACATACATATAT